AGGTGACTCCGAGAAGTCTGCACTCAGCTTTGTCCTTCAATCTTGAATCTTACTGCCTCCCCTTTCCCTTAACATAAAAGAAGTCTCAGTTTTATTCCACGTTAAGATGGTTCTTTAGGACATGAGTCTGCCATCTTTTTGGTTTGCTGGCTTTGCAAATAAAGTGGCTATTCCTTGCCCCAACCACTCATCTTTAGATTTATCGGCTAGTCGTGTGGCAAGCAGTATGAACTTGGCACATTGACATCTCTACCTCCAAAGCTTAACCTGAATCCATCCATCTCTTGCCATGGACACATCACCACCATCTCTGGCCTTCATGACTGCAATGGTCTCCTTTGCTCATTTCAGTCCCTCTATGGTCCATAATGCAGCCAGAGATTATTTCCCATCCCCTCTCGGGGCCTTTGTAGGAATATTTCCCAGCCAAGAATGCACTTCTCCCAGACCTGCTCCTGATGGCACTAACTCTCATCCTTCAGTGGCCCTCAACTCACAGTGGTCCATCCTGATCTCCTGATCTCAGTCATTCTCTGTCCCTCCACCCAGTTTTAAAAATTGAAGAATTTTATTACAAATGGCTATGTCATTGTTTGTTTATGCATTGAACCTGGCTTCCCCTTAATGATTAAGCTCTAGAGAGGAGAGACTGGGTCCTTTTTTAAAATTTTTTTCATTGTAGTATATTTGATGTACAAAATTATCTAAGTTACAGGTGAACGATATAGTGGCTCACAATTTTTAAAGGTTATATTCCATTTGTAGTTATTATAAAACACTGGCCATATTCCCCATGTTGTACAATACATCCTAGTAGCTAATTTTATACATTATAGTTTGTACCCATTAATCTCCTACCCCTATATTGCTCCTTCCCTCTTCCTTCTCCCTGCTGGTAACCACCAGTTTGTTCTGTATATCTGTGAGTCTGCTTCTTTTTTGTTATATTCACTAGTTCGTTGTATTTTTTTGGATTCCACATATAAGTGACATCACACAGTATTTGTCTTTCTCTGTCTGACTTATCTCACTTAGCATAATACCCTCCAAGTACATCATGTTGCAGCAAATGACAAAATTGCATTTTTTACAGCTGAGTAATATTCCACTATGTGTGTATGTACAGCACATCTTCATCCATTTATCTGTAGATGGACACTTAGATTGCTTCCATATTTGGCAATTGTAAATAATGCTATTAACATTGGGGGTGCATGTATCTTTTCAAATTAGCGTTTTTGGGTTTTTTTTCAGACATACCCATGAGTGGAATTGCTAAGTCATATGGTATCTGTTTTTAGTTTTGGGTTTTTTTTTTTAACTTTTTTTAACTGAGTTATAGTCATTTTACAATGTTGTGTCAAATTCCAGTGTAGAGCACAATTTTTCAGTTATACGTGAACATACACATATTCATTGTCACATTTTTTTCACTGTGTTTTTAGTTTTTTGAGGAACCTCCATACTGTTTTCCACAGTGACTGCACCAATTTACATTCCCAACAACAGTGTACAAGGGTTCCCTTTTCTCCGCATTCACACCATTATTTGTTATTTGTGGTCTTTTTGATGATGTCC